TTTTTTTTTTTCTGGATTATTCTTTATCGAAATGATTGTATAATTTAAATTTGCTTAATAGTAAAAAATGTGAGATTAAATTGTAATGGATGAAATCACTTGCAATTTATGTGAGTAATATTGGCGGAATAACCAGGTGGTACTATGCCAAGTGCATCACGCAAAGCTAAAGCAGTATGGTTGATTGGTGGTATTGGAAAACGTATAATTGTTGCAGTGGATGGTGGCGGTGGTGGCGGTGGTGGTGGTGCAGTAGCAGTTGCTGTAGGGATAAAATATGGTGCTGGTTGACCTATTGCAAATGGTACCATATCTGTTAAAAATTTCAATAATAATATTAGAAATGTTATTAATGAAATATACTTGGAAAAATAATTCAAGTATACTTTTCCTTTTGATCATTGATCAACCAGAAATGCTAAACCATACAAATTTGGAATCAAATTTTCAATTTTAAAAATTGTTATGTTGATATTTCGTAATGAAGAAGATTGCTTATATTTTAGGAAATTATCAACTTACCACTATTTCCAATTCAATTATCAATTTAATTAGTGTCAGCTATCAATACTACTATTTAATCAATTCATCACGTACTTTGTGCAGGCATCATCGGTTGTGGTAGATCAAGAACAGTACGAACGGGTGAAAATGGTATACCAGCTGCAGCTGCAGCTGCAGCTGCAGTTGCAGCTACAACATGAGCTTGAGCTTGTTGTCGCAAAATATTATTCGGCAAAACAACCCCATTAATCGAATTATTAACTGGCATATTATTTGCAAATATCATCCCATCAGGGCGAAAAGATTCATCCAAAATTTGCCTAGATCGAGGAATAAATTCGGGCGCTTTTAGCCATTCTGAAAGAATAAAATATCAAATATATAAAGTAATGTAACAAACAAAATAATTAAATATTAAATTCATCTTAAAATTTAAACTGAATTGAAATTTAAGGAATACTTCTTATCTGCATTTTAAAAATATTCTTCTTGGAAAAAAAAGAGATTTTAAAAAGGAAAATGAACATTTTAGGATTTTTTCTTTTTCCTTTTTTAAATCAATGTTTACGAATTAATGACTTTAATTTATATACCAATCGACAAAAGTAAATGAGCAAAGTAAATATCTGGATTGAAATGTTTGACTTTGAAAGTGAAAAAAAAAAATTAGACAAAATTTTTATGATTGTCACGATTATAATTATAAGTTTAATTTAAATATAAATTGTGAAGTTGAAATGAGTTGCGAGATTTAGGTTGGAAGTTTAGTTTAATTTTCTCTCGATTTTTTTCTTTTTTAAATAAATACTGGATAGTAAATACAAGCGAGTTTTAAGTTTGTTTTTTATTTTTATTTTTTCTTTTTCTTATAAATTTACTTTTCCGGATTTTTTCTTATTTTTTTTTTTTTTGCCACAGAACAATCTTTGCTTACTTTCGAATTAGCAATATTTGCTTGCTTTATAATTTCACACTAGCTAATCCTAATTTTCAATAACGAATAAAGGAATTTTCTAAGCTAATGATAAGCATTTTATGATGTTTATTTTGAAAAGTTCAATTATTCCATTGTAATTAATTCTTAACATTTTGTTTCTATTCGTAATTAGTAATTTTAATGATATTTGAGTTTATTTTGTGTAGCAAAAAATACCAAATAAAGTGATATATTTAATTGAAATGGATGAAAGAGACAAAAAATCTAATAATTAAAAAAATTTTCTGAATCTAAATAAGTAAATGGTTTTTAGTTTATGTGCCATATTCTATTTAATCAATAAATGCATTGATGAATTTTACAATTGATGTCAATCAATTGGTCGACTTAAATTTAAATCGAAACAATTAATTGGAGATGAAAAGGGAACGATGTAAGAAAATAATATTATTCAAATTTAAAATTTTGGAAAAAAAACTTGGAAATAAGTGTAACAACACGTGAAACAAGCTCAACAATTTTTTAATTCCTAACTTCCAAAAATTCTAGTTTAAACTTTTTTCTCAACTACGAAATGAATTTTCGATTTCAATTTAAAATAATTTTGTTAAAAATGTTGAATAAAAACTAATAGACAAATCATTCTTTTCAGCTTAATTTATTAGATTACCAAAAAAGTGATCCCGATATTGTATATATTGATGAGTGAATTTTTCTCGTTATCTGAAGAAATAGATGTTGTAGGTCATGGGTCAAGCCAAAAAAATATGATTGAAATTTAAAGAGAATTTGATTGAAAGGTAAGATCATAAGGATACTGTAGGTTAGCAACACCTGCTATCTTACTTAATGGAAACTAATTTAACAAATTTTCAACTTCCACTCCTCTTCAATTTATTCGTCCACGATTAAAACACTTATTCCGTCTACTTTTCATTGTACCCATTCAAATTCATCCGTTTCTTTATAACAATTAGCATTTGTCTCTTTTATTAAATTATGAAATATGCAATGGAATTTTTGAAATTTCTTGGATTTTTAATTAAAAAAAAAAGAAAAAAAGAGAAAAAGGTAAGGAAATAAATGAATTTGACGTGAAGAATCAATTAGGGTGTTAATAAATTCACCTTCAGGATCTATTTTAGTTTTAATTTGTGACGATAAATTTCCATTTTCATGTGTCATTCTAAAATTATCATCATTTGTTGGTTGCATTTGTGTTTCACCATGCCAATACGATGGTGGTGGTCGATCTTCGGCATCAAAATATATTCGTTTGGATTGTAAATTTTCCATAATTTATTACAAATTCATTTTGATAATCTAAACGACTTCCAATTGCTATTTGTTGTTTATTTGTCGTTAATCATTTTGTAATCCATAAATCTTTTGTATTTTCACAATTCTGCAAATTTAATTAATATAGTATAGATTTGTTATATTTCTAAAAAAATAACATTCTAAAATGATTTTTTAGGTTACATTAAATAGATGAAGATTCAAAGAGAAGAAAAAATAAAAAAAAGAAACGGACAAAATGATTGAAATGAAAATGAATAATCAAAATTTGAAACAAAGACATTTCAAAAACTTCAATTAATTCATTTAAATTATTAACGCAATCATTTTGCATGTAATGTTTTTACTGGAATTAGGATTAAAGTGAAAATTATCAAATATAAATCAAATCAAAAATAAATTTCTTTTTTTCAAAAGAAAAAATTTTTTTTTTGTATTACTTGTTCATTTTAACATATTCTTATAATATTAGCTGTATGCACATAGGATTTCGTCCATAATTTCTTTACGGATTTGCATGAGAAGTAACAAATTTGATCTTTCATTAAAAAAAGAAAAAATTGAATAAAATATATCTCGGGATTATGGTACATATATTTCTAGGGACCATGGTATGTAGGTTAGGGATTATGGTATATCATGGTACATTTATTAGAGATTATGATACATATATTAGAGATTATGGTACATATATTTTTCATTTCAATATTACAATTCCTATTCTAATATTTGTATCATTCAGAATGTTACTTCAAGTGGAAAATTGTAAAGGTTAAAATGTTAGCTTCAATTAAAATACATCATACTTCAAATACATCAATACAAAATACATCCTAAGATATCTAATTATCCCAATAATATCGATATATTGTAATTCAATCCATATGTTATGATGAATATACTGCAGGAGAAGGAGTAGGATTACTTATCAATTACAACTATTAGAATATTGTTGTTGTAAAATTTATATGATAAATAATAATTCCATACCAACAATAGTAATAACAAATAGGTCAAAGTTGAAATATTTTCTTGAATGTAAAGATTTCTTTTTTGTTTCTTTTTTTTTTTTGTCTCTTTTTTTTTAAAATGACGTAATGATTTTCATCTGAAGAAATTTCAAAAATAAAAAATAAACAAATAAAAGAAAAATGATCGATCTTAAACATTTCATACATATACATTAAGATTAAAATGAAATTCATAAATTATTAAAAGAAACCTCAGGAGTGGTATAAAAGGAAGAAAGTTTTTGTGGAGATGTTGTTGCCATCTAAAAAGGCTAACAAACATCCTTAATTTTGATAAAAAAAAATTGAAGCATAAAAGTTTTAGAAATCATCACAAAATTGAGAGAGACAAAATTTGATTTTCTTTTTCCCATTTTTTCTTTTTTCTTTTTTTTCCTTTTTATTTCTTTTCAGAAATGAAACAGAGAGTGGGAAAAAAAAATGAGGTAATAGGAAATTTTGAATTAAAAAAAAACGAAATTAATAAAACGGATTAAAAAAAAAAAAAAAAAAACAAAAAGTGATTCATTTATGGAGAATGTGAATGGATTCGTTGTTGAAATGATTGGTACTAAAATGAGAGATTTGTTAAATTTGGTGTAAGGTGAACAGAGGAAAGCGTAACGAAGAAGCATAGCTGTAAATATTGAAAGTTTGAGAAATTCTTTTCAAACATACACACACACACACATACACCCACACACATAGACACACACAGACAGACAGGTAGACGGACACACACACACACACACACACACACACACACACACACACACACACACACACACACACACACACACACA